TTTTTCGTCACTCAGTGGACATTCAGCTATTAAGATAGTGCACGATGAACATTCGTGCGTAGCTTTCATGCAGACATGCGTTTTTCTATGTCTTGAGTATGTGTCGGGGCTCTCTCTCCACCCGTAGGTTTGGCACCTTACCGGAACCACTCAAAGGACTCAGTAGATGACCTTCCTCGTGGCTGTGATTTGCTGTAGTGGGAAGTCTGGGAGAATCCAGGCACGGGCTTCCCTGAGTCCTCTCCCAGTGGAGTCACTGAGGACACGCTTAGTCCCGCCACCATCTAACTGTGATAACGTGTGACGTGTTGCCTACCGGGGCCGTGCTTTCGTGTCCAGGCTGTTTGTTGGAGGCCTGCCGTGTAGGACACTCTGCCGAACACATACCACAGTTCCCAGAGGGAAGCAGGGTTGGCGTAGCGTGTCTACACAGTGAGGTGCGGTAACCATCCTTAGCAGTGCGAGGATGGCAGGGACACCCACCAAGTCCAGTTCTCAGGTGCCAGCCAGGCGCCACCCTCGCGGGCAGGGCTTTCTGAAGATGGACGTCTCAGACCTGCGCTGCGACCTCGCTTCTGCCAGCACCGACCTGGGCTTGCACCTGCTAGTTCATGCGGTCACTCCATACTTAACTTCTCGCCAGATCGCTTCCCAAAGGGGCTCTACCACTTCCACTCCCACCGGCCATTTGTGAAGGCTCCTATTCCTCCACATCCTGGCCAGTGCTTTTTATGGCCCTTCTTTTCTTCGTATAACTGTCCTGGTGGGACTAACAGGTTTTTAAGTTGGTGATTTGCAAGCATTTACAACAAAAAATAATGACCTGTGGGAGCCGCCACGGGCTCTCGAAGAACAGTCATGCCAGTCTAACCTCTTATTCGCCTCTTTAAAAAAGGCATTTCTGTTTTCTGTACTCGCCGTGTAAGGGCGGTGTTCTTACATCTCAGCCCCGTCTTTCACAGTATCCTCACGTACACACGGAGAGACGGGGCTGTCCGGTTCTTGGGCAGACTCGGCCCCTGCGGACAGACGGCACTCTGACTGGTACTGGCCCTAGGGGGGACTCGGCCATTCATGTTTCTGTCCGAAACTTGGGACAGGGCCTGAATGACAGTCCCAGCAAGTGTGCAGACTCGAAGCAGGTAGACACACACACTGAATGACAAGCTCTGGTTCTAGAAAGATCCTGAGAGCACAGAGCGGTAGGCAGAGTCCAGCAAGATGCAGGCTGGGAGGGACGGCTGGCAGGGCCCACCTGCAGGGTCTGGTCCACGTGTCCCAGGGCGAGTTTGCACTTGGCTCTCTGCTGCTTCCAGACAGACCAGCTCACCCCGCACCTGGGTGCCAGAGCCTGGCGGCCCTGGGAGAGAACATTGTGCCGTGCGGCTCATAGTTCCAGAGAGCACCATGGGTGAGCGCAGGGAGCTCCCAGCTGTGCCGCAGGGGCAGTGCCGAAGGGGCCGAGCTGCCCAGGTGGCCAGCAGACATCCACAGCAATGTGAAGGCGGCCCGGCATGGAAGCAGGGTGAGCTGTCTTCCCGCGGCTCGGAAAGGGAGCTAGATCTGCACTGAAGGAGGGGCTTAGTGGACGGCTACCTGGCAGGGTGGTGAGCACCCCGTCACTAGGGCATTCAGAGAGAGGTTTCTTCACCCTCTGTTAAGGAACCCCCATGGGCAGGTGGTCGCCTGGGTCTCCTCTCAGCTGCCTGAGCAGGAAGCCGGGGCCTATCCTCCGAAGCCGAGTCCAGGTGCCACCACGGCATGCCAGTCCCAGACTGGAAGTGTCGGGCTTTCCCGCGCCATCCCCTCCGGTGCCCCCACAGTCCCACCTTCCTCAGAGCGGCTGGCACCAGGAGGTTGCCCCTGATACCTGCTGGCTCTCACCTCTGAGGCGTGGGGTCCGCGCCGAGAGCTGGCCGTCTGTGACCGTCCAGCCAGCGCCCTCGCCTGCTTACTGTCACTCAGCGCCTTCCTGCACCATCCCGTGCATCGTGGGGCATGCGCAGTGAGTCTCAGGATGAAGCTTGGCTGTGGGACTGTGTGTCAGGACCGTGGGGTGGCAGTCTGCCAGGGCCCTGACTGGCCCAGCTGGCCAGGACCGAGGAGGAGCAGCTGTTGGCCGGGAGGTGGCGAGGCCCGGAGAGCACCCCACCATGCTGCAGGACTCCTGCACGGTGCTTAGGCAGGTGCATTAGGAAGAGAGAGAGGGACCCCCTGGCTGGGGCAGGGAGGGCTCCCCCACCCCCTGTGCATCCAGTACCAGGTGGAGCCGCCCAGAGTCCGAGTGGGGAGCACGAGCATGTTGGAGGGCCCATGGGGGCTCTGCCTGCCCTGAGCCCGTCCACACAGCACGGGGGCTCTGCCTGCTCTGAGCCCGTCCATGCAGCACGGGGAGCTCAAGCTGGTCCCACACAGCATGGGTCGTCCACGCCTTCCTTCCCGCCGCGGGTGTGGATGGGATGGGAATGGCCACGTGCCAGACAGCTCCACATCCCACAGCGGCAGCTGCTGTGAGGCCACGAGGCACCTCCGATCCTCGTAATCACTGAACACCCACCTCCCTCCCCCCACGCATAGGCTCCAGAGGGGCGTGTCCCCGGGCCTCTGCTGCTGCTCTGCGCTGTCATGGATGTGACACGGATGTGCGTGTCACGGAAGTGCTTGCAGGACTCAGCCCGTGCCGAGCGCTCGGCATGCCTTACCGTGACATTTGCACGTGTGTCACACATGCTGGATCAAGCGTGGGGCGGCTCTCCCGCCTGCGATTGAGAGCTGGATTGCAGCCTGGCCGGCGCTGCTGCCCTGACCGCGCCGTGCCACCAGCTATGTGAGGCCTGCTGGCACTGTCCCGCCATCCCAGGGCGAGTCCAGGCCGCAGCCCTCAGGTCAGCTCTCCTGGGCTGTGCCCCGGGGCTATAGCAGCTGTGGTGACCGCCGATGTGTCGGGTCTGGGCACCAGGAGTGGGCGAGCACGGGGGCGCAGGGAGAGGGCCCCGTGGCAGGATGGGACAGGAAGGCACACGGGTGCTGGGCAGTGTCTGGGACCGCGGGGAGAAACAGGCTGCATCTTAGATTAGTGCTCCACAGGCGGCCCAGGACCTGCAGCCTCACGTGGGACTCAGAGAGCCAAGTTCTCGGGCCTGGTGCCCTGGGGTGGGGGACATGGCGCAGCAACCTGGTTCAACACGGCCCAGAGGTCCTGATGCGACCCCAAGGCTGGCCTGGGGGAGGTTGGCGGCTGCACGCAGAGACAGGCCAGGGAGGGACGAGAGCGTGTTCCTGATCACTTGCCGCGTCGGGACGAAGAGCAGCGTTTCCACTGCGGTCCCCCGTTTAGACCTTCCAGCATGGTGGCAGGGTGGGCCTTCTGATTACTTATCAGAGCAGGCCTCAGGTGGGGCCCCCGAGACTCGGGGACATTTCGTTTCATGTCAGAACCACAGAGAGTGGCAGAAGTGGGACAGAACCCAGGCTTCTCAGGTCTCGAAACCCGCGTTCTCTCCACTGCAGGGCTGCTCCCCTGCCCGCAGAGCATCCAGCCCCCTCAGCCCTGCCGGACCCCGCTGTAGCCCACCTCCGGGAGGCGGTGAGGAAGACCTCGGGGCATCACCTGGCACCTCCTCCAACCCCAACCTCCAGGTCTAAGTGAAGAACACCATGCTAGTGTGGCACTCCGAGGGCTGGCGAGAGTGCATGCCACACTGGTGACAGTCCCTAGGCTCTCACTACCCCGTGCGCCAGGCCATGCTGGGTGCCGTGAGGGAAACTGGGCTAGGCTAGTGTGGTTTCTGGCCTCAGGGAGCCAGAGAGCAACTCGTCAGTGACCAGCTGGGCTGCTGGGAACCCAAGAGGGCCGCAGGAGGTCCGAGCAGGTCAGGGAGACTCATGCAGCACCTGCAGGGGACAGAAGGCGCTGGGGACACGGCTGAGCCTTCCGAGCCAGAGGGCCCTCCGGCCGACTGCCTGGTGGGCTCAGGGTGCTGCATCAGATCACCCGGGCACTCTCGCCCTGAGGGCTGGTTGCTTCCTGCCAGAGGGTTCCTTCAGGCCAGCGAAACGGGAGGCTGCGTGGACGCGTCGGCTCTTTACTTTGGCACTGGAGACATGGCAAGAAGGTAGTGGGTGCTTGTCTCTTCCCTGAGAAAGCTCTCGCGTAGGCTCTGGACATGTGGGGTTATCCGAGGAGAACTGCCTTCCAGGCAGCTGCAGCTGCAGGAGTGGAGTCGTGGTGAGAGAAGTCACCTTCCTCAATTTGGAAAATTTGGGAGATTATTTTAGGTTTTTGTCATAGAGTGTGTGCGCTTACCAGAGAGGAGAGAGGCAGAAAAAGAGAAAGAAAGAGACCACTCCCCGGCCACACCACCATCCCTCTCCATTCTCCTCTTGGCATTCTGGGCAAGCACACACACCTGCCCAGTGTGCTTCTCGCATTGCCAAGTCTAGGGTTCGAACTGCAGTTAGCCGTGTGGAAGTCCAGCACCTTAACCACCACGCCACCTGCTGGCTTTTATGGTTAAGGTGCTGCCTTAGTAGGTGGCTTAAACCACAAGAGCCAGCAGATGGCATGGTGGTTAAGGCACTGGACTCCCACATGGCCGGCCATGGTTCAAGTCCCAGACCTGGTGGTTTGCTTTCTCACTTTCCTTCTCTCTTTCTCTGTCTCTGTTGAGGGCACTAAGTAATAGTAATAACAAATGAAATGTAAGAAAAATAGATATGGTTTGGTGCCAGTAGGTGGCGTGGAGGTTAAAGGTGCTGGATTCCCACATGGCTGACTGGGGTTAAGTCCTGGGCCTGTCAACTTGCTTTCTTGCTTTCCCTTTCTCTGTCTTTGTCTCTGTCTGGTCAAATTAAAAAGTAATAACAAATGGAATTAAATAAACAGTTCTTTAAAAAACACTGATGAAGAACAAGCACATTTAACCCGGTGGGAAGGGCCGCGGTGCCGTCGGGCTGGTGGCTGCAGCTGGCGGCTGAGCTCTGTCCTGCTCTCTCTGCAGATGATGCGCTTTGCCTGGCAGAGCTACGCGCGCTACGCCATGGGGAAGAACGAGCTCCGCCCCCTGACCAAGGACGGCTACGAGGGCAGCATGTTCGGTGAGTCGAGGCCCCTGCCACGTCGGGGCCACCGCTGCCCCGGGGCCCTGTGGAGCTTCGGTTTGGCTTCTCACCTCCGAGTTGCGGCTCTCCTTCCCCAGACCCGGAGGCTTCTGACTCTGCTCCTTCTGGGCTGTCCAGGCCTCAGCCTCCTTCGACGTGGGAGCCCGTATGCTCCTCTCGCCTCACGGACTCTGTCTTTGAGGTTACTGGTTTTTTAGAGCAAAGGCCCTTAGGACGTGAGCAGGGAGGGTGAAGACCCACAGGACCAAGGACTGAGGCTACACCCACCACAGGGCGCGGATGCCCCACTGCTGGCCAGCGCCACCTGGAGAGCCGCGGGGGCCTCACGCAGGCTGCCCGGTGGCAGGTGGGACAGCCCGGTGGCAAGTGGAACTGCCTGGTGGCAGGCGGGACAGCCCGGTGGCAGGCGGGACGGCCCGGTGGCAGGCGGGACGGCCCGGTGGCAGGCGGGACGGCCCGGTGGCAGGCGGGACGGCCCGGTGGCAGGCGGGACGGCCCGGTGGCAGGCGGGACGGCCCGGTGGCAGGCGGGACGGCCCGGTGGCAGGCGGGACGGCCCGGTGGCAGGCGGGACGGCCCGGTGGCAGGCGGGACGGCCCGGTGGCAGGCGGGACGGCCCGGTGGCAGGCGGGACGGCCCGGTGGCAGGCGGGACGGCCCGGTGGCAGGCGGGACGGCCCGGTGGCAGGCGGGACGGCCCGGTGGCAGGCGGGACGGCCCGGTGGCAGGCGGGACGGCCCGGTGGCAGGCGGGACGGCCCGGTGGCAGGCGGGACGGCCCGGTGGCAGGCGGGACGGCCCGGTGGCAGGCGGGACGGCCCGGTGGCAGGCGGGACGGCCCGGTGGCAGGCGGGACGGCCCGGTGGCAGGCGGGACGGCCCGGTGGCAGGCGGGACGGCCCGGTGGCAGGCGGGACGGCCCGGTGGCAGGCGGGACGGCCCGGTGGCAGGCGGGACGGCCCGGTGGCAGGCGGGACGGCCCGGTGGCAGGCGGGACGGCCCGGTGGCAGGCGGGACGGCCCGGTGGCAGGTGGAGCAGCCGTGGTTGGGGCGGAGTGCGGGGCCTCTCGGCAGCTCGTGGGGTCAGGTGCACCCTTGCCTGCTCATTGTCCTCTCCCAGCCGCGGGGTCCTCCAACCCAGAGCTCGAGGGCCTCCGTCTGTGTTCCAGAGGGACCATGAGGTGACATCCGTGCATGCCGCCTCAGGGGTCACAGCCTCAGGGTTCAAAGCAGCTCCAGCCCAAGCTTTCCCCCAGGCCTTTCAAAGAGAACACTAGAGACACCCAGGCTGCCTCCTTCCCTCCAAGACAGAAGAGGGGCGATTTATCACCCAGCATCCTCGCCCCTAGAGAGGCAGGCTCCTACACTGGGAAACCAGTGGGAGAAGGGACTCCCCAGGAAATGTCAGACAGATTGACAAGGGATGCCTGCACGCCCCACGCCGTGGCCCTGTCAGGAGTACCTGTGTGACAGCAAAGGTGACACGCTCCTGCCGTCTCCTTACAGTCAGCGTCGTGCCCTCCTGGCTGTCCGGACGGTTCGCTCTCCTCGAGGGAGATCGTGTGGGTTTGGGTGGCTTTATTTATTTATTATTATTATCCTAGGATCGTAGAGGGGAAACGAGGGAGTCAAAACGATGCAGAACAGGCACAATGTAACTGTCCTGTCGCGTAGACGTGGTCTCTCCTGGCATCTTGACTTACTTCCTGTACGGTTTTATGTCTGTCCTTCCTTTCTTTTCGGCTTAATGTTACCTCGTAAGTGCTCCCCGAGCCATTTGAATCGTGTCCTAAAGAATGCGTTCAATGGTGTCGGCGAGAGCGTGGGTGTGCGGTAACACCTGACGCCCTGCCGGTGCTCCACAAAGGTCATGTCCAGTTGTCCACTGTTGGAAATGGCACGGGTGTTTCCACCTTCGTACAAGGTGGCTCAGGATAGATTTGTAGAGAAGGATTTCTGTGTGGCATGGGAGCAGCCCTGGCAGAGGCGCTGTGGACCCCAGCTACCAGGCTGGGCTGTCACCACCACACAGACAGGGCCATGGCCGCCTGGGCTTCCCTCTCCTCTCCTACCTCGCCGATTCTCGGGATAGGTGGTCGGGGTGGGAGACACTGCTGACTCCTGGAACTGTGCAGTGTGGGCTTAGCTGTGGCCCAGACCATCCCCTGGGACAGGCAGGAGCATCCCAGGAAACACTTCTGTTGGGTGCTGGGCTAAACCAACTCCCGCATCGTAAAATCCCTCAGGGTCTGGGATTTAACCTTCCAGCCACTTGCTAAGCAGTGAGGCCGGCCCGGAATGGTGGAAGAGCCGGGGTCCGGAGTCAGGAGGCCTGGGAGCAGGCATGCTCCCGTGTGGCCGAGTCCCCGTGCCCGCCCTCTCGGGCCCCTGTTGATCCGTCTTCACGCTGAGCGGCCGTAGAAGTAGGAACGAGAGGGTCTGCTGTGTGTGCGAGTCGTGATTGCCCTTGTAACATGAGGGCCAGCGCTACCCGGTGCGACCAGGGGAGCCGGGTCCCCGCTTGTCTGTCGGCTCTGGGTGTGACCTCGGCAGGTCCGGGCGTTCGGTCACCCGCACCTGTGGTGCATCTGGCCACGAGGAGTCTTTCTCTGCAGTCACAGTGGGCGGCTGGCTCCTGGGAACGGAGGCTGTGAAGGGACCCCACACTGGCCAGACACCTGGTCCTGACTTACTCTCTCACCCCAGTGCCTGCTGGGGGCCATGCCTGGTGCTGACTACGGCATACGGGGAAACGGCACGGCGAGGCTCCTCCACCCAGCTGAGACACGCAGTAACCCTGCCCTGGGGCCCCTCTGGGGTCTGTCGGTGCTCTCAGAGAAGGGGACAGGAAGAGGGGACTGCAGAAAGACGCGAGCAGCCCTTACTGGCTTGAGAGTGCCTGTGAGCCCCGCGGACCTCGGGCTGCATTCAGACTTGATTGCACCCTGGTTGTGTGACCTGGGGCAAGGGTTTCTCTGAGGCCAAGCTTTCTGTATGGTGCCGCTTAGAACCACGAATGCCAGCCCAGGGCCCGCCAACACGCGGGACCCGTTAAAGTGTGATCATTGCTCCCACAAAGGGGTCTCGGGGCTGAGGCTTTGGGGAACTCGTGGGCGAGGGCCAGTGAGCATCTGGCGGCTGGGAGAGGTTTTCCCTAGTGCGTCCATGAGGCACTTCGCAGCTAGACTCTCCCCAGAAACACGGGAGGCCCCAGGCTGGGCTGTGCAGCTTGTCACACACTGCTGTCTCTGGACCCAGGCCAGCTGCTGGGTGACTTCCTCGCTGGACTCTGGCTGCCACTGTCCTTGGTCAGCGCACTGGAGGCCGAGCCCATAGACACAGGCCCCTAGCGGTATGGTCAGGCGGCCGCAGCCCAGCCTGCCCCGCCTGGCTGAGTTGGATGTTCAGGGAGCCCCTGAGCCACCTCCTGGTCCTGGGGCTCAAGCGGGCCTGGTGACTGCAGCCTTTCCCAGGCCTGCAGAGCCGGCGGGCCATGTGCAGGGAAGGGAAGCAGTCCACTGCGGTGCCTCCATCGCAGAATTGCCAGGAGCTGAGTGAATCCCCTCCGCCTGCTACCTGCGGCCCCTCAGGCCAGCTTTAGCGTCCTGAGCAAGTCGGTGTGGAGGGGCTTCCTTTCCACCACACCCAGCTCAGCAGGCTGTCAGACAGCGCTCTCGAGGCCCTGGGCCATGGCGTGCTACACGGCCCGGCTCAGAGAGGGCACAGAGTGGACTCTGGATCTGGACAGGCCTGGCGGAACCTCTGCATGGCCCCTTAGCGGCTGTGTGGCCACGGCTGTGCAGTGGAGCAGGACCCACCTCTGGGCCCGTGGTGATGGTAGGACATGCCGAGGGCCGAGACCCATGGCGAGCCCAGAGCAGACGCGTGGTCGGGGTGCTCGTGTTGCTGTTACGTGCCAGAGTCAGATTAGCGGCTTGAAGGGTGTGTGAGGGGAGGGCGCAGAGGAACCAGCCGTCCCTGGCAGCCATGGTGCTGTGACGGGGGGCTCAGTACTGAGGCCAGCTTCCTCACCTACAAAACGGGGTGGGGGCCACACCTGCAGCTGTGACCTGGGGTGGGGGGGGACATTAAATAAGCTAGCCGGGGAGCGTGGATGTGGGCAGGTTGGCTTGGGTTTTCATGCCTGTCGGTTACTCACTAGCTGTGCAACCTTGGGCAAGTTTATGAACCTCTCTGGGCCTTGGTTTCCCTAGCTATGAAGGGGGAATGTTGGGCCAGCAGGTGGCGTGGTGGTTAAGGCGGTGGATTCCGCATGGCCAACCACGGTTCAAGTCCTGGACCTAGAGGTTTGTGTACACTCTGGTTGCATGTGCATGTGTGCCCAAAATCCCAGGAGGAGAATGGAGGAGAAGGGATGGTGGTGCGGCCATCCCCCCGGGGGGTGATTTCTCACTTGCCCTCTCTCCCTCTCTTTCTTGCTCCCTTGCGAGGGCCTATTCCCTATGCAAAGACCTAAATAATAAGGGGGTGTTTGCAGGGTCTCCTTCACAGGGTGGCTCTGAGAACAGAACGCATTGCTCACTATCAAGCCTGGCACATCTGGGCGTTCTTTAAGTCCAGCCACCAGAGGGTGATGGAAGGCCTCGAGAGCAGGCGCATCTGACTGGGCTGTGCCCCGTGTTCTGGCCCCAGAACCAACGCTAGGGCTGCGGGGCCTTCCCGGTCCTGACCCCTCCTGCCCTGGCCCCGGCCTGTGGCAGAAAGCTCGGGCACTGTGGGCAGCAGCCTCTCACCCTTGATGCAAGCTTCTTGTCCTGGGATGTTTAGCAGGGGAAGGCTAGGGTTTGGGCGGGAGTAGGTCAGTCCCCTGCCAGCCTCGGGACTTCTGAGTGAGCGGGAGGTGGCTCCTCGCGCTTGGTGTCAGCTGGCCGCCTGAGCGAGCCGCACACACTCCTCCCTCCAGTGAGTCAGCACGGTCCCTGAGAACTTCACCTCCCTTGGCAGCGGGGAGCTTGCCCC